ACTAATTAGTTAATAACAAAACTTTATTATTATTATTATTAGAATCACAAAATTATTTTATTGAAGTTTTATTTAAAATAAATAAATATTTATTGAAAATATTAGTTCAAAGACTTTTGCACCATACTGTATATTATTTATTTAAAATATATAAAGTAATAAAAATTTAGTGATAGTTTATTATCAAAAATTCCAATAAAAATTTTACAAATTATTTACAAAATAAAGATTTTGATTACTTAGTTATTTTATTATTTATAGAATTATATAAATTAATAATTATATCAAATATAATTTTTATTTTTATTATTAATAATATATTGTAAAATCAAATGATATTAATTTTGAATTTTTTTGATTTAAATAGAATATTATTTAAATTATTTAAATTGATTTTCTTATGAACTGATAAATCTAAATGACATATATGGTTCCGAAAATTAGAATCAAATAGAATCGAACAGAATCGCATGAGGTTCGGAACACTACTAAAAATGATGGTGGGGTATACCCTACCTATTAAGTTTAATATAAACTTGAGAATCAAATACAGAATCGAAGAGAATTGTTAGGATCCTTAATGACATATTAAATCATGATCTGACAAAAAGAAACTAAAAGATAAGAAATTGAAGGGTAAAAAATCAGAAGGTAGAAATTTAAGTAAGAATTAATTTTTATTATTATTTTTTTTTCTGTAGAGTATTATTTACAAAAGTTATACAAATATTATTATTATTTTTTATAAAATTTATGGTTACTTTATTTATTGCTCTAGCTGTTGACAAGATATCTGTTTATAAAAAAAAAATTATAATTTGTTTGATAGAGCTATCAACATGTTCAATATTTTATTTATCAATTTATTAAGCATATTATGTCTTTTGAAAACTGTTCTAAATCATCAAAAGTGACAGGTATTTTGATGTATTCAAATCATTATAACTAGGGCTCCTAACGGTACCACTTTGATACCACTTTGATACCAGTTCGATACTTAAATTTACTATAAAAACATATGAGTAGGTCACAATCTATATATTAAATTTACTATAGATCGGTACCATTTTGATACCAGTTCGATACCAGTTCGGTACTTTTTCAGAGTCCTAATTATAACATATAAATTGTTAGCAGTGGTCAAACTAAATAAATACTTAATTTCAACAAATCTATCTATAAAAAAACATACATCAAAAAAATAATTTTGTATAATTTAATTTATAATTATAATTACTTATAAAATAACTGTATTAAGTAGATGCATACATGTTTCTTAAGCATCTTTCCTAATAATACATTTAAGGTTTTCATAGTATTTTGACAAAGTTTAAGTAAATTACAATCTCTTTTAAATATGAGAGTGGTTCTTTTACATAAAAATTTAATAATGATAATAGTTTGATCTTTATCTCTTGTACTAATAACTTTATATAATTCATCAAATTTATGTTTTTTTTATATTTGAAGTAACTTGTTTAATCCTTAGTTAAAGAAATCAATTAATTAATAAGGTTATAATTTAAAATTTAGATTGATACCTATCAAGCAACATTCAATTCATCTTGATACATTTTAAATAACCTATTTAAAATGTAAATTATTGTGTTTATAACATAAGTTCTTTCTAAATTGAGACCTTTGTACTCAACTTTTATAGGTGCTTCTAAGTATAAAAAACTATTTTTGAAAAAATTAATTATAAGGAATTTTGATTAATATTAACTATCAATATAAGAATACTTACAAATATGTTAATATATGCTAAGAAATGTCATATGTTTTATGATAAAAAGAATCAAATCTTCCAGTAACACAGGATTTGCAAATAATTGTTAGAATATTGGTTTGAGTACAGGTTTTTTTCATGAATTGGTTGATATATTCTATAAATTCCAGAGTAGATTTCCAAATTTTTTTCTGAAAAATCTTTTCAAGCCAAGAAATTTGATCTTTATTTAAAGACTTTTTAATATATTTATATGTTTCGTTGTTTAATAAATTTATAATATTATATAGGCATATTGATATAAAAAAATCTTTTCCATTCTCTTTATCTTTTTTTTAACATATAGTAAGAATCTTGAATAATTTGTTACAGATGTCTATCTCATTCTAAAAAATTAAAAAATTATTATTAGTTATAAAAAACACTAAGAGTAACAAATAAATAAATACTTGCATAAGCATCTTAATTTCTTTTTCACCCTTATCTCTATTAATTGATTCAGCATTACTGTCAATTGATTTATTTAATATAGTATCATTCTGGACTTCTTTCTTTTCGAAACCATCATTCTAAAAGTATTAAAATGCAAATAATTAGCTTTGTTGATCTAATTTCTAACCAAATATTTAATTTATTTTCTATCTGAAAATAGATTAGAAAGTACAAAAAGGTGAGTTAAAAACAATAAAGCATACCATTGCTGTGAGAGATTTTTTGCTATTATAGTTATCATTTGTCTTTTCAGTAAAATTATTAATTTTTGTCTTTTTCAATTGTAACTCGTGTGACTTTTTCTCAGGAAAATAAGACCATTTATGCTCTAACAATATCACTAATATTCATTATTAAGTTTATTCAATTGAAACAAGAAATATGAAGACTTAAATGTAATACCAAAACCAAATCGCAATTGATCTTAAGTAACATTAAATATTGTATCGCTGAGGTTATCATGTAACACCACCAGTCGGTAAGCCATCTTATTAGCATTGAGGTCTATTGCTTTCTTCAATGCTTCTATAAAGGATAGGCACTTTCTCCAAAGGTCATTAATTTGAGCTGAATTTATTTCATCCTAAATGAATAAAGCAGAAAAAAAACCCCATTCAGACTTATCCTAAGGTGCCCCACCAGACGTGTCCAGTGGGCTGTCAGACGTATCCTAGCCCCTCTTGGTTAAAACCTTTATGATAAAATAAAGTTTACAAACCGTAAATTTCTCTAAGGCCTCTTCTGCTAACTTTCGAACTGTTTCATTATCACGAGATTTTATTAGATCCGAATCTTTACGAATATTTTCTAAATACGTCTTGTAAATACGATGTTCATTGTCTTTACTTCCGAAGTCGTGAGCATAGAATGAACTCCAGTGTAGAAAATTTTCTAAACTCACAATGTATTATTTTCGAAGTAACGAAGCCTCTGTAAGCCGGACATAATTGTTAATAAACTTTTGTTTATCGTTGTTCGCAACTAAAGTACAGATAATGAGGATCATCAGTCAGGCTTTTGAGGAAATTGTTATTGGCCCAACTGCGGGTAAAGTACTGTATGTTTCGACTATGTCCCAATATTGCTTAGTCAATTGATTTCTCAAGTTTAGTAAGATTGTTAAGCATAAGATTTGCCGGATGAATTTCGGCCTTGAATCGATTCCCAAGTCCGAGGTGTCGTAATTGTGGCTTAACTTTTTTGGTGGCCTAACAACTTTTCCGACGTTAAAAAAAATATTTTCGCACCTCATATGATCAAGTTATGTTTATTATGGGAGAAAAGCATATTCTAGATATAAGCCGCGAACTGCCACCTGGAAATCAAAATCATTATCGTGGCTTCCTTGCATCGACTATTATCCTATGAAATCCAAGCTCTAGACAATCGTGGCTTTTCACATAAAAGGCTTCAATCAAATCATGGCTTGACTATGTGTGTGGCTTTTCAATTCTATTTTCGCGTGAAAATTTCGGAAATATTTTTCCCTTAGATAAAAAAATTTTTCGGGAGGACCAAATCAAGAAATTTATTGATTTTTTCTCGTTTTCCTTCCTTTTATTTACGACATGACGATTTAAGAAATATAATTGTTCTCTAAGGCGATGCTAATTAATATTGACGAGTCATATTCAAACCAAAAACATTAAATCTCGATTGCTTTTTGTTTGTTTTTTTTTTTTGGTTAATTTCAGAGATTGCGGCTTCCAAAATGTTTATTTTTTTTTTTTTCGACAATGATATGTAAGGAGTTTGTTTTTGCTTATTGTGGCTATTCACTCCACTGCTCTCACTGCTTCAGAAGCCACAAGAATACTGGTTATTTGCGAAACTTTTTGGAAATTAATCTTGCGCTTTCATGAATCTTGCCAAAATCTTGCGAATTTTGGTCTTTTTATTATCATTATCACCATCAAATTAATAGAAGATTTCGAAGTACAATTTCCAAAACGAATTGAGCACCTAAAAGATTTGGTAACGTATAAACTTTTTACTCCGCTCGGATACTTCCATGACCATAATTTTTCCTGTTTCTTTCAACAAGGCCCATTACAAATCATCATTATATAATGATCTCAATCACGTGGCCGGGACCAAGTGAATGCACCCTAAAATCAGGTAAACGTTTCCCAAAATAGCTTAATACCATCTGTACACAATAAAGGAAAAATTGAATTAAGAGAGTACGGCTGTTGATTTCCAAATTCAATGTTTTACAACAATCATAAAAAGATGTTGTTACGTTAATTCCGGATTTCCTTGTAAAACTTGTCTAGTGTACATTCTATCCTTATTAACATGCGCTCTTTGTTAGGTAGATTCTTTACAAGCAACGGATTGTCATCAATCGTCAATCCAAAGTATTTGACGTGCCCCTGTTCCGCGTCAGTCGTCGAATGAAAGGTTTTCAGCAGAGAAAGCATAGGACTAACTTGGGGAAATCTTGAGGATTCTTATAATGCCGGAGTAATTGGATGACGACATTTCTAATTTTAGTCGTGAGAGATTTCCTTAAAGATCAGGATAACAATGATAGTCGGCTGTATTCTTATCTCTCGCACTTTTTTTTTCAATGACAAATTTGATTTCTGGGTAACTCAGCAAGTAGACAAGACACCACTAAGGAAAAATCTTTTAATAACAAGATGAACCTGATTAGAGTCCTGTCGATGACAAAAACAAAGAGTCGTTTCTCGTTTGAATAATAGATAAATTTAGTAACCCATAGCTTTGAATAATGATGTAACTTGTTTCTTATCCAATCTAAAAAATAATTCAATCAAATGTTCAAACTCTGTCCGACTTCAACTCAGTGATCACTCGGAATTTCGAGAGACTGACGTACGCAATGTGTGTGGTTGATATGGTCAAGTTGTATGTTCGCATTTCGACAAATTCAAAAGTCGTGTAAAAGGATTACCGGATTGGTGGCTCAGGCGTAGAAGTCAGTCATTTTCGAAACTGGTGATTGAACAGATGCATCTTATTATTCGACACTGGTATAAAAAGGGGATGGGTTATGGATCCACAGAATGAAAATGCTTGAATGGTTCTCTTCCGCCGTCCGTAAAGTCGGCATCAAGTAGATCTCC